CACGACTCACCTTGCACACCAGTCAATTCTAACTCCACTACGAACTACTTCCTGCACGCTTTTCACAATAAAACCACGTTTTGTCTCCATCAGCATAACATCTCCATATTAACTAACCGTGCTAAATCTAACTGTGCACGTCACTGAAGAGGTGTTTACTACATTCAGGGACGGCGAAAACGGGATGTTTTTTTAAACGTCAGTCAATATAAGCAGCGGAATCGCCACCTGCTGCTGCAACTAGCTCCAAACATTAGCATGCTAACGCTCATAGCGATGCAGCAAGGAAAAATGTCCCCCAGGAAACAACAGTTCTCTGGCGGCCGCGACGAAACGTTCCGCTATTTAAACTGGAATGTCGGGTATTCAGAAAATTCATATAACAAAAATAAAAACCAGTATTCGGTACAAAACGGTGTACCGCCCAGCACTAGTTTATCATTGTTTGAAATTAATATAATTTTTTATTGTAAAAAGGAGCAGATGTAAGATTTTTTGTCGTCTTCTGCCTTTTTATTTGATTTGTATAGTTTTGYTGCATGTGCTGTTTTTTAATGAAATGAATAAATACATTCSACAGCCRTATTTGGGTTCATACATTGTCACCTGGTGGATCAGTGACACACGAACAAAACGTGCGACAGCTTTCACCCTCAGCTGTTAACATTAACRTTGATCAAYAAMAYTTATAGACCTCAGTTAGTGCTTCTAAATTTAGCCTATAAATGAAGCAAGTGCTAATCCACTAATACATTTTAAAATTAGCAAAAGCCCTAAAGCACTAATCAGGAACAGTTCCTCTATTAGTGCTTTAGGGGAACTGTACGCACCACTGACCAAAACTAAAACGTGAACAAGAGGTATTAAGGAAGTTTCAAAATAAAGCTCATCCTAATTAAAATAAACCTTTAAATTACATTATTAGATGATTGTTTTGCTGTATTTCCAGGCAGATATATCAGTTTAAATGTATCCACCTCTAATTGTTTATTTTTATTATTTCTTCAAACTTGACTCAGAAGAAGCGCCAATCATCATCATTGCTGAATCAAAATGTTTGACGACAGCTCGGCGGCTGCTCGCTGCCAAAGAAATATTCTGAGGAGATTTGGAGCTCAGYTGCAGTAAAGCCTGATAACTCTGCACCGATTCAGAAACAGCAGAGAAGAGTCAATAAAGAGCCCTGGAGGCAGAGTGCACATCAATATCAGAGTTTACTCCCCCAAACATGGCTGCTGTGGCTCTATTAGAATACACAAACACAGATCTGATCAGTGGGAATACTGAAACCATAATCTGACAGCATCTCAGAGGAACAGTCACATTTATGTGCTGCTTGGTTACAGACTTTTTTTAATCCTTTTTTCTGCTTCTAATCTGTGGATTGTGAATAAATAAGCTGCAGMCAAACAAAACTTCCAAATGAAGCTTTTGTATTCATGAGGTTGAAAACCTTTTAA